AAATGATATAATAGTAATAATAATAATAATAATAATAATAATAATAATAATAATAATAATAATAATAATAATAATAATAATAATAATAATTATAATAATAATAATAATAATAATAATAAGAATAATAAATGATAATAGTAATGAAAGAGTGATGTATCGGGGGATACTTGGCCAAATGTATATCCAGCACCCCTAGGAGAGATACCCCAACCACATCGATCATCAGGATCAGACCATAAAAGATCACACATGGCACCCTCATGAGGAACTTCTTGGACACGATCAAAATTCCGTATATTGTCAAGAGTTTCAATGGATGGCGACAATCCACCGTGCAGGCAGAAGATCTCTGACTCAACCTAGATAAAATTAAAATATGGTGTTACAAATAAGAACTTTGGAAGAAGATGAAAACCAAATATACAAATAAAAATAATACTGGAGCAGGGTAGTTGAGACTGCAAATTATTACTGATGGAAGTATGCGGACATCATTTACCAATTGGTAGTGAGTGGCAATAGTAGTCGACAACATTTTTTATAAATAAAATCCAAAATTTCTTCAGGTGACATTTTTTGAGCAGTTATAACGCATGCAAGACTACAGAAGCACAACAGAGCAACACTTTTCGCAAACATGTGGTCGCAAAAAAATCCTATACAATTACGTCTGCATTAATCAGTTACCCATCATGTCCAATCATTCCCAGCCCTATTAATAATTCAAATTCTACGCTCTATAGCATTGGAAATTAAATGAGGTTGCCATTTTTCATTAAGTAAATGCACTCACCAATGCAGTAAGAGGAAAATAATCAAATAAATCTGTGAAGATCTTCCACACATTTGCATTGCCATACCTGCACAATGCAACATCAGACCATATTTAGCTCACCCAGACACAGATCACTGTATACATTTTTTGCAAGCAATAAAACAAAGAAACTGATGGATGTATAATAAATGACAGAAAAATTTGCTAAAAGACCTCCTGCTGCTTCCTTTTAGTACTGGAAGGCAGTAAGAACTGAGAGAACTGAAAAATGTAAGTTGCTCCTATATCACCAATTTCATTTGTTTCACAATGAAATATTAGGATTAAGTGATCCAGTTAATCAGGATTTTCTTGATATCAGATAATGATAATGGCATCAAAGAAGTTTTCCAATGGTTTACAAGTAGTGCAGCAAACGATGTCATCCAAAATCATAGGTTTAAATGGTGAATGGAGAGGCAGGACGATTGGCCCATGGCCTCGCGCCTCTTGGCGAGGCGATTCACCATGGCATTGCCTCGGCTACACAACTCACCAAAATGTATAAAAGCAATATTATAGATGGTACAATTATATATTTATGTTCAACTGACAAAACTAACATCAAATGTCTTCCAAAAAGGAAAGAACACAAACGATTTTATATTGGAAACACAAAACAACAATATAGTAACTACTCTAATATGTGAAAAAAAAAAAAAGAAATTTAAGAAACAGTAAACAAATAGAATTGGCAAATTGATAAACTAAACAGTAGACGCCTATTACTATGTTTAAGAGATTAAACAAAAAAGCAAAACAAAAAATGATAAATAATAAATTAAACAAACATTTTCCAAAAAATGGACTCCACAGCGCAGATAAAAAATGGACTCCATAGTCCAAAAAATGGACTCAATGGGAGCAGCTCGGCCGAGGTGAATGGTGGCACTTAGTGGAGGTCAAATTTGGGGTAATTTTGAACTCTGAAACCCTAGTTTTTCTGCGCTGTGTGACTTTGCTAGATAACTCTGTGGGAGCAGCTCGGCCGAGGTTAATGGTGGCACTTAGTGGAGGTCAAATTTGGGGTAATTTTGAACTCTGAAACCCTAGTTTTTCTGCGATGTGTGACTTTGCTCGACACGACGAGCCCCGTCTTTTTAATTGTCTTCTCTTTCCACAATAAAAATGTTTCACGTTTTTATTTATTTTTTAATAAAACTATGTCCAAAATACCCAGTAAAGAACCAGGGTTGAATGCCTAAAGCACAAAAGGTTAGTAAAAGAATTGGGTCTTAAATTTTTCAAGGGCAACACCAAGCAAATTTATAAATCCTGGATGGCAGTTACTTACTTTCTTAGGCATTCATCATAAAACCCATAAACCTGAGTAATCTGCATAAAAAAACAAAAGGCCTTTTAGAACTAAAATATGATACTTCATATGTAAAAATATATATTATTGTGATAAAATGTGAAAGAAATTTCTGAAATAAAGTACTTTCTATTTTTTAACGTGTAACACACAACAGCCATTCCATGAAAAGAAAATTCTGAGACGCCATACTCTGAGATAGATACACAAACACATCCGACATAAGCAAGCAATAAGTTCAGACATTAAACACAAACATGCCAAATAACAAATGGATTTCATGCATTTTCACAGGAAAAACAAAAGGAAACTAAAGATCACCTGGCGGCTTTCATGATTACCACGTAGAATCGTAATACGTTGTGGATACCGCACTTTGAGAGCCACCAAGAGCTGAAAAGAATTTATACACTTGTTAAAACGGCACAGAACTTATAGTTTCATCAGTCTGCTCATATCAACATATGGTAAAGTCAAAAACAATAATACTTCAAAGAACTACAATTTCACATTTTATCACAAATTAGCTCATAATTTTTTCACTATAAACTTCATATAGATATCAATTTCATTATTTCAGATTTTTTATTAACAATCAAAATTACAAGTTACTAACAATACAAGTTCTAAAATATTAACTTGGTATATAAACATATACAGACGCTGAGCTCGGCACGAGTTCAGTTTGGCTCATTTGATAAATGAGCCGAACTCGAGCTCATTGAAAGTTCGTTAGTTAACGTGCCGGCTCGGCTCGTTAAAGCTCGAAAATAATAATTTGACATAGATACTTTTTATAGTTCGACTCATTAAGGCTCTAGTTTGGCTCCTTAAGGCTTGAGCTTAACAACAACAACAACAACATAGCCTTTTTGTCCCAAGCAAGTTGGGGCAGGCTAGAGATAAAACCCAAGAGAACCAATGGTAAGAGAAACACAAAAAGGGTTCAAAACAAAAGGGAGAGATTGGAGCAAAAGAGAAAGGAGCAAAAGGGCTCGAGCTCGAGCTGGAGCTCAAGCTCAGCTCGACTCGTTTACAACCCTACATAGGGTGGGAGAGGTAAAAACACGAAATGGAAGTGGTTACCACAAAATAGGCCAAATTCGAGAATAATGTTTTACATTTATAAATATTATAAAATATATGGCTGTCACAGAGAAAAAAAAAATGAAATTGTATGCTATCTACAACATCTTATCCTTACATTCTCAGTGGCAGTTGGCATTAATAATACATAATTAAAGACACCATGTCTTTTGCGCCTCAGTTTTCCATATCATGTGAGGTCATCGGGATAGGTTTAAACTTGGATTCGCTATTGAGAATTTAACATCTACAAGTTATAGAAACCTCACTTATGAATAGCAGTCATTAAAGATATTCTGTACAGAATTCATAAAGAAAGTAGAACTTCAGAAATAAAAGTTATAACCCACCGTTACTGTCTCAACAGAGTAGTATCCTCGATCAACATAGTCCCCCATAAACAAATAATTTGTGTCAGGACACTGAATTCACGAAAAAACCTTCATAAGTACATAATTCCACCAAATTCATATTTTCATAAGCAAGAAGAGAACATAATTACGTCATTACCTTCCCACCAATCCGAAAAAGCTCAGCAAGATCATGGAACTGCCCATGAATATCACCACATATAGTGACTGGGCTTTTTACTGGCTGCATTGAGTAAACAAATGACCAGCTAAATGGTTTATAACGAATGCAGCTGGAGATTGTCAATACTCATTGCATATAGAAAACTTAATTATCAAACATAACAGCTCTACCCCCAATCGAGACAAATATACAGTGGATGACCAAGACTTAGGCAAAAAGAAAAAATAAAAAAAGAAAATATGTAACATGAGTTGAACTGGTTCCAAATTTCAAGTCATAAGCTTGGAGTAAAAACTACAAGAGAGAGAGAGAGAGAGAAACCTTAGGAGGAATTCTCCTATTTATTCCATGTGACATCAATACTAAAAACCAGTCCAAGCAACTACATATGGAATTCATTTGTTGCTCTCAACGCAGAACACATGCAAAATAATAACTTCTATATAGATAGAAATGAGCTGCCATTTTCCTATGCAACCGACTTCTATATCAAGCCTGCAATAACACTAGACATGAACAAAATAGAAAGACCTGGACATTGCTCTCGTCCATAAGAATCTCCTTGGCCTTCTCGCATAACACCCGTACCTACAGACGGGCAGAGCATCTTCCATAAGAAATTCTCCACAACAAAAGAATGATATAATATTATGATTTATAACAGCTGCAAAAACGATACCAAATATCAAAACTTGGTCAAAGAATTAACCAACCTCTACACCTTTTGTCCAAAGAAAGTTAAGAACAGGGAAAATAAAAGGTCTCAGAGATGAAGGTACGAATGAAACAGGCAAACTGAAACAGCTAAATATGACACATAAACAAAAATGCCCTTCACAGATCTGAAGCCAAAATCCTTAGATCAAACTTAAACAACCACATTAGCGGACCACACAGAACCCTACACCAGATCACTATGCCCTGATCCCAACAAAGCGAAAGAGGGATTTTCCGACAGGTAAAGAGACATAAACATGCAAAGATCCCCACGCGAGCAAAAATTGTCGAGAAACTCGAAAAGGAAAAACTAATACGTGATGAGTAAAATCTAATCTACCTCTGGTTCGGACAAGGGTTTGCACTGCATGAGCTGAGAAATTTGCTCGTCGAGGTTACCATTAGCTCCGCCGGCGATCGACGCCATCGTCGTATCCATCCGAAGTGGAATCGACCTAGAATTTTGAGATTCCCCACTGGGACTGCTTCAACGACGTCGTTGCTAGTTAGATTTTTAATTCCTTTTCATTTATCAGTTTTTGTATAGTCTTTTCTATGTTTGGCTGTGGCTCTGGTTGCGAAGGAGCCAAGTGGTGGAACCGAATAGTGAAGTGAGTGTGAAATGACAAGAATGGCCTTACTTTGGATGTGTGTGATTAATTACACATCGAGGCCTCATTTATAGAAGTGACAGGGACTAGATAGGATATGACCATTTATCCAATGACTTGGATTTTATCCCATGTTTACCTAAAACTAGTAGAATCCTGTGTACATGCACAAATGTACATAAAATATTATAAGTAATATTTGAGAATTTAATATTAAAATTATATTACATTTTCAAAAATTTGATCATTAGGAAAAGTAAATTAACGATTTTATTATTATGAACAATCGTTTAATATCATTAGATAATAACAGTTTAGTTATTATTATTATTATTATTATTATTATTATTATTATTATTATTATTATTATTAAAACAATTATGCAATGACTTGGATTTTGTCCCATGCTTACCTAAAACTAGTAGAATCCTGCGTACATGCACAGATATACATAAAATATTATAAGTAATATTTGAGAATTTAATATTAAAATTATATTACATTTTTAAAAATTTGATCATTAGGAAAAATAAATTAACGATTTTATTATTATGAACAATTGTTTAATATCATTAGATAATAACAGTTTGGTTATTATTATTATTATTATTATTATTATTTTTATTATTATTATTATTATTATTAAAACAATTGTTTATAAGATTCTAAAGTTGTCTGACTATGATATTAAAACAATTTACTAATTGTATTTAAAGAAATTTTTCCATGAGATACGAAAGAAAAAGATAATATTGATGTTAATATAAATAACTTGAAACAATTGTTTATAATTATGTAATTTATATTTATTGTGAATTATTATTAGTTGGTATTATCAATAACTATTATAATATAACAGAAAAATACATGATTACACTTAATAGGATGTATTAATGAGAAGTAAAAAATTATTAATGGTAAATTTTGTAACCGAAAATGGAGGGAAAATTTTAGAGGTTTTATTAAATAGGTTTTATTAAATGCTATATGCTAGCAATTATATATATATAGATAGATACTATAATTTATTATACCCATCCAATGTTTACTAGCCTTTGTTACAAAATATGACTAAAAGTTGTAATCTCGATTTTACCCTCATTCCATATTCACAACAATTCGATTTTGTTCCCAAAATTCTTTGAAACCAAACCCTACCTCCTCTAAAATCCTTTTTTCTGTCTAATCGGCCGAGGAAGAAAAGGCGACGACCCATTATCGTCGACATAAGCAGCTAAACGAGGTTTGAGACCAACGTGTTCGAAACGAAAGGTTGTCGGCGGAAATCGGGATTGGCGTCGCAGTTCTTTCTTCCGAAGGTTTATGCCCCATCGGCTGAGAGGTTTATCGAGGTGATGTATCCCTAAATTTCCATGTTCGTCTAAATGATTTATGTTAGAAAGATTTTGCTTCAGAATAAATCTATCTGATTAGTGGGTTCTACGAATTTTAGGGGAAGGCAAGCTAGGTTATGAAATAATTTGCGACTTCTTCGTCTAAATGTCTTGTGCTAGAAACATTTTGGTACTTGATACACGTATTTGATGTGTGTGTTTTACGAATTTGTCATGCTCGATAAACTAGGTTGTCAAATAATTTGTGAGGTCCGACGGGTGTATTATGATGTATTCTAGGAAGCTTGTAGTTTCCATTTGTATGCAATGTTCGTAGGTTTGTACAAGTTGAAATCTCGATAGGCAGAGTTCAAATTAATATATTTTACTTGGGATTAATTTTACTTTCCCAAGTTGTTGTTTTCGTATATCTACCTTTCGAGTGCAACTTGTAATTGTTCTCCAGGCAGAGATTTAATGCACAAACAATTGCTATTCACATAAATTTAATACAAATTATAGTTCTCTTTCTCTTCTTCTCATGTGGAACAGACAGTTTAATTGAAATTATAGTTCGTTCGCTCTATATGATGTATATATGAGTTCTTAGGGAGTTAAGTGTCAGCTTTTTTTTTAATTCATATTCATGCTTTTATTTGATTCTGTTTTAAGTGTCCTATGAAGGAGATTCTTATGCCCTTGGAATGTGAAATCTGGTGAATGGGTAGAGGTTGCTACTTCTTCATTGTATGATGACATTGTATACATAAATATGTTGAGTATGACTGATGGTGACTTACTGAATACTACATTTGGTGAGTGAATTGAAGTTATATGACAAGAATGGGTTCGACGATGATGTTACATTAGTTTAAACACAGATTCTTCAATGAACTTATTATAGAATCTTATGAAACGCTTTGACATTAGTATGTGGGATCATTTACAGTTATTTCGATGATTTGACTAGCAATTCACATAAATTTTTTTGTTTTTTTATAATTCATTTGTCATCTACTTTTATGACAACATTTACCATAATATAAACTGTTTTTCCAATTGAAAATATCTACATGAAATAGTTATGGAGTTCCATATCCCGCCCGAGCAAAAACAATATTTGTTCAACGATAAATGGACAGTCGAGGTTGACGAGTCATTCACACTGTTATTGGTATCAGCACAACCCTATTTCCCGTTGTTACTTGCAGGCAATAAAAAGGATGAATACTTATTGTTTACCTTAAGTGCAGATATGTTGACTCGGTACATCTTTTACTTCAATAGAGTATGAGCACAGGTTTCAGCATTTTAGAAATAGGCATAGGGTGATAAGGGAAATGATTACAAACTATGGTATCAACTACTGTTGCAAGAGTGGTCTCATGTGGGGACCAAAAGAAGCATGGAAGAGTGTGTTTACTGTACGTTACGTGATTGATCAAATTCCAAATCTTTTCTTATGTTTGAACTAGGTTATCCTTATGTAATTGACATACTTTATTTTGCAGGATGAACCTATTTGTCTGCACTACAAAACTATGGGAGACCCGCAATGGGCGAAATTGCAAATAATTTTTGGTGCGGTAGACAAGGAAACAGTCCACCTGAATGTGCAAAGTGCTTCGAATCACAGTACCACTGTTGATACACATGTAGATATTAAAGGGAAAAAAAACCACTTTTGTAAAGTTATTTAGGTACTTCTCTTTAGTGATACTTGCTCCATGAACCTAAGTAATGTTTTTTAACTATTTTTCAGACAACCATTTGTATGTTATGAAAAATAGATGTACTTTTCTTTTATGTTAGTATGTTAGTGAAAGATTAAACCCTCGAGGTTCAGTTATTGTATTTTTTTGGTGGTTATACAAATATTACTGACAATATTATCTCAAGATATCATATATTTTATTTATTATATGACTATTTGAAAGGTCAGCAAAATCGGAATTCACTTCACAAGCTATAACAGAACAATGCAAGCTTACTTGATTGCAGTACAAGGTCAGGTTAGTCAAACTTTACAGTTATTAAAACTTTGCAGTACAAGCTTGTGTATAAAGACAAAAAAAAGTGACCATTTCATTGAGCTATATATATGATGAGCCATGGCAACTGAATGCAGGTCTATTGCTAGGCTTAAGCTTTTATGTAAAGCTGACTTGATTGGACTAAAGGGCTTCACGACTACACACCCCAATGCACAGTTGCGTTGAATGGAGTACAGGGCATGACAACTCAATGCAGGTCTAGGCTTAAGCTTTTCTGCAAATCTTGTTGATTGGACTAAACGGCTTAAGCCTTTATATCAGACAATGCATTATTGAACTCAACATTTTTTATGCTATTTAAATCCTCAGTTCACACGAAAGCAATCCACAACACACAGAGGAAGAGAAAGATTAGGATTTTAGCAAAAAAAAAAAAAAGGTAATTATTTTCACCCATACACCTCGCAATGGCTCCCAACTTTGGTGTAGTGCAGACGGACTATCTGTACGACCTACATTGGACCCCAAAGCTGGATGAGTTTTTAATCGAGTTTATGCTTGATGAGAAGCTTGTTGGTGAGTTTGTTCCTTTTGTAGTTAACAATAATAGTATCGTAGCTGCTACGAGGGCGATAAATGGTTATTTTCGAAAAAGTTTCACATCGGAGTATATAAACCAACGTGTTGAAAATTTAGGCAAAAGATATCATATATTCTCACAGCTTAAAGAAAAGTATGGGGTTCTGTATGATAAGGCGAACAATGTTTACCATGCTTCCGACAACATGTGGCATCAGTTGCTAACGGTGAGTCTTCCTAATGTTGTCTGTATCGTTTTATTACAACTATGTTTTAGTTGCAAAGTCATTTAAATTTTCATTTACATGTAGTGGGACGAGTTTTTGCTAGCTTACATGACGGAAGGTGATCCACAACATGAGAAGATTGTTGAGTTGTTTCACGTGGGGGCCGCCGTACATACCTCCATTCGAGTATCACATTTTGTCTGACAGCGATAGCTAAGAACCCAGGAATGCAAAGAAGGGCCGCGACAAAAGTGTTGAAATTATAGATGTTGAGGACTACACTGCAAACCCTGGTCCTAAGGAGTGGGTTAGTGTCGTACCCTGTTCGAACGGACATCCCACAGAAAAAACAACCACCCGGTCCGGAATTCTATATGGGCAGTAGTTCCAAAGCCTCAAAACAGAAGCAATGAATACATAGTCAAACCGGATCAACTGATGGATATGTCAATCAAATACCAAAGTACAACTCATCTCAGAATTGGGCTGATGAAGTTGAAGCAAATTCTGCGTCCACTGCGTGTTCAACCACTCCCATGGATTACACGCCGGATTCCCCGTGGTACTAGGTCCGTCAATGAATCATTTACGTTTATGTTCTTACTTGTGTGTTAGTCAATGTTGTTTTATTTTAATGTTTATGTTTGTAACGACCTTTAAATATGCGTAGTAGTTTGTGTTTGGAGTGTTTTGT